ACATAGAGACACACAGAGACACACAGAGAGACACAGAGGCACATAGAGACACACAGAGACACAGAGACACATAGAGACACACAGAGAGACACAGAGACACATAGAGACACAGAGACAAAAGACCCACACAGAGACACATAGGGGGACAGAAACTGGACTCTGCTTGAACCAGTCTTAACACCAGCGCCCCCCCCCCCCCCCCCCTAAAAAAATAAATAAATAAATAAAAGAAGCTCCTCTGCACCAGCAGGTAACCCACCCTACTTGTTTCGGACTCAGGGAGGTGCCAGAAAAAAAAAAGAACAAAAACACTTCTTCAGGTTGGGGAGTGTCCAGGACCCCCAGCTGCAGACCACCACAGTCCAGGACCCCCAGCTGCAGACCACCACAGTCCAGGACCCCCAGCTGCAGACCACCACAGTCCAGGACCCCCAGCTGCAGACCACCACAGTCCAGGACCCCCAGCTGCAGACCACCACAGTCCTCAGAATACTCCTAAAATAACGGGTTCTGATAAACCTGGTCGGGGTCTGGTTCAGTCCTGTTTCAGTGTGATCTGAATCCCCCCCCCCCCCCCCCCCCCCCCCCCCCCCCCCCCCCCCCCCCCCCCCCCCCCCCCCCCGGTCCTCAGCCACTCCGGGCCGACCCCCAGGGGCCCTAAATCCTCTCGCGCAGCAGAGCCGTGCGCGTGGCGCTTTGCCTATGCATTAGCCATCCATTTCCCGCGGCTGACACCCCTCCAACATAAAAGCGCGAGGCGGGGTGAAATATGACCCCCCCGGTGCAGATAAAGCTTTGTCTGCCTGCTGATCTACTGGATCAGAACCGAGCCGCGGCTCCGCTGCAGCTTCACCTGCGCGCGCACTCCTTTTTGCGTCCGTGGATGCGGCGCGCAGCAGCAACTCTGCACGAGGCCGCTGATCAGAAGAGATCGATAATTATTGGAGGATTCTCGTGTGGTCGGAGAGAGAAGCTGCGTGCGCGCTCCGTGGAGGACAAACTGGAGAACGACGTGATGGTTCCACAGAGACCAGAACAAGTTCTGCAGAACTGTGTCCTCAGGCCTCGAACCAGAAGTTCACTAAATAAAACGAGAAACTTTGTCACGACAACAAACATCAAACAATCTACAATTAAAGCGAATTAAATGGAACACAGCGCGCGCGCGCCGGGAGGGTTCTATTCATCATAAAGACTTTATGATTAAAAACGAGCTGAAAAAATTATTTTATGATCAAATAAAATGACAAGAAAAAAAACTGCACATTTGACTGTATCAGCAGCTCTGCAGCTTTATTTATTTATTATTTATTTATTATTTATTTGTTTATTTATTTATTATTTATTTATTATTTATTTGTTTGTTTATTTATTATTTTAGTGCTTTAGTTTTATGGCTGGGGGGTCAAGCAGTCATCTGTCGCTGCAGCGCGTGCCCTGAGCTCTGACCAACTGATCATGTTATCAGACACTTTGTGGTCCGGCCCTTCCGCCCGCTGCACCACCTGTCTGATGCAGGATTATAATCCGCTGCTTCTGATCCCGCCTCTAGATTTAAAGAATCGGATTAAATCCATCAACCCGTCAGATCCATTAGAAATCAGCTGATTGAAGCTTCACTTTGACAGAGTTGATCCAAATAAAACCTTTTAAATCCACCGGAACCCACGAGGACACTGGACCCACATCCGGCCTCTCTGGAATATTTCTCAACTGGACCGGAACCAGCAGCAGGGATGCGGGGAGGTGCTGGAGCTCTGCGCTGTCTGCAGGCCTCCAACACGCGCACGTGACGGTGGGCATGCGCTCACATGTTTTGTGGAGAAGACATCGTGCACATTCTGTCTCACGAAAGCTGCCGCGGCCTCTGAGCCTGCTTTATCTGGACTAAACCCGTCGGACTCACGTGCACTGTGGTCCTGCTCTGGTCCGAGTCCCCCCCCCCGTTTACAGACACACACACACCTGTGGGGGTGTTAAACACCTTGATGTCGGGATTCCCGGTTCTGGAGAACCCGGAACTCCGTCGGTTACACTTTGGGCTGTGGATGAAGCGGTGTGCGTGTGTGGTGCGTGGTGTGTGGGGGGGTCGGGGGGGGTCCAGCTGTAGGTAGATGATCTATAAATCCCATCGGATTCCTCGCAGCGGAGCTGGGAAAATGTTTGGACAGAGTTCTGCTGGTTCGATCATCCGCTGGGTGCACATCGACAGATGTTTGATTCCAGTGGGGGGGGGGGGTCAATTTGTGGGACCACACTGACGGTACATGCTGCAGCCCCCTCACCCCGAAATCATCCCAGAGCACAACGGCGTGAAATGAGACCCGGATGGATGAACGGATGGATGGATGGATGGATGGATGGATGGATGGATGGATGGATGGACGGACGGATGAACGGACGGATGGATGGATGGATGGATGGATGGATGGACGGATGAAAAATTACCAACCAATAAAAATATACAATTAGAGCACGAGACTCCAAAAAAGTAGTCAAAACAAATTTAATAATAATAATGATCATAATAACAACAATAATAATAATAAATTATTATTATTATTATTGTTGTTGTTGTTGTTGTTGTTGTTGTTGTTGTTGTTGTTGTTGTACAAATTTAAGAAACGATTGAAATCTAGAATATCTCTTTTTGAAGAAAGAGAGAAATAAAACGAGCTGAGCTCCGGACCGGCTCTGCACAGTGGATCAGAACCGCACCGTCTGCGCGCGGCCGTCCGGACGCAAACCCGCGGTGTGTGTGCGTGTGTGTGTGTGCGTGTGCGTGTGTGTGTTGGTTCATTACAGCTTTTGATTTTATTTTTATTTAGTTGAGTTTTGCCTCGAGGCCTGTGGACTCACTGAGTTCAGATTTAACCCCGCACCATCTGATCACCTGCCTCGCACGGAAACGGACTTGTCACTCCCGCAGTCACGCGCAGTTGCGGGTCCGCTGCGCCTGGGGAGGAGGCGAGGCGGGGGGGGGGGGGGGGGGGGGGCGAAGAAAGCGTCACGATGAGGATTAATGAGCGCGCGCATCTTCACAGCCTCATTCATTAGTTCAGATTAATGATCCCACGTGGAGCAGCTCAGTCCATAAAACCGGATCTCCTGGCTGCTCCGTCACTTCCGGCCTCACTTCAAGACCGGGTTCTGATGGTTCTGATGGTTCTGATGGCCCGGGAGTCCAGACGCGCCCTCCAGGGGAAGAGAAGTTGAAAAAGTGCATTTAAAGTTACATGAAAAGATTAGAAACAGAGAAAAAGGCTCGTGCACGAGGCACACTGCCCTGAGCCGGGAGTCGAACCTGGTCCGGTTCTGAGCCGTGTCCAGGGTCAGCTGAGGGTTTCTGGGCCCAGAGGCTGAAAACACAGTCTAATTTACAAGATGTGCGCGCGACAGAAGAGGCGCGTGAAGGATTACAGGAGAGCTGCAGCTGCTTTATTTACTTTACATTTAATGCTGTCTGCCTGGGGGGGGGGGCACATGCACACCCTGGTTCACTCCCAAGCAGGCGGATTATCTCGTGCGCGGCCTCTTGTTTACATGTTGTTGTTTAGCGCGAGCTGCCACCGCAAACCATGAGCTGATCACGTGATCACATTTTCTCCATTTTCATGTTAAAAACAGAAAAGTTGAAATTAAACTAAAGGAGTCCAGGCAGACAGACAGACAGGCAGACAGACAGGCAGGGAGGCAGACAGACAGGCAGACAGACAGAAAGACAAACATGCAGACAGGCAGGCAGACAGAAAGACAGACATGCAGACAGACAGGCAGAAAGACAGACAGACATGCAGGCAGAAAGACAGACAGACAGACAGACAGGCAGGCAGACAGAAAGACAGACAGACAGACAGACAGACAGACAGACAGACAGACAGACCTGTATCTGATCTTTCTACCTCACTTGATTCTTTCTTCTTCTTTTTATTCCTGAAGCGCGTGCACACCTGTCCTGTTGGGGTCTGCGCAGGCACCGGGTGGGGGTGCGTGCGTGTGGACCAGGCCCGGCGGAGCTGCTGTTCTGAAACATTGAACAGATTTTAGAAAAGAAAAACGAAACAAAACGTTTTTTAATCATTAAAGAGAAAATGAATGTGAATGATTCAATCCAGAGAACATTTTATGATTTGGATTATTTTTAAATTCAATTAAATGAAACAGAAAGTTGAAAAGGTTCTTGGAACTTATCTGAGCAGAGCTGGACTGGACCCGTCCTGGACGGTCCGGGAGGCCGACCCGGTCCCGCCACCGCACACCGAGCCGGCCCCTGGACTGGGCGCGCGCAGCCTCCAGCTGTGTCAGGAAACCTTCAGCTGTTTGTTTGGACTTTAGCTGCTTTGTTGAAATGAAAAGCGCGCGAGGACACGCGCGTGGAGCTGGAGGACTTCCCTGCTGTCCCCTCTGTCCCCTCTGTCCCCGTGCTCGCGCAGACACTGTCACCAACAGATGACACTTCGCGGGTGTGTCTGAGCAGCAGAACCAGAAGCAGAACTTCTCCCGGTTCTGATCCCGAGACTTGATGGTTTGTCGCGTGGCTCCGCGCTGATTGGTCCGGCTGCCCCGTGACGTCATCAGGATGGGAATAAGGCTGAGGTTGGAGCTTTAGTGGCAGGACAGTGAACCGGAGACCCCAGCGCATCCTGGCACGCGCGCGGAACTGGCCAGGGAGGGTCTGTCCAGCTGAGGCGGTGAACAGAACCGGACCCGAACCTGCAGACCCGGATGGGGGGGGCGGGGGGGATGTTTTGTCCTGAGATGTTTTTTGGGGGTGTGATTTTGTTTCTTGCTGCATTTTGCGCGGAGGACCCGCTGCCATGGTTTACGTGCGTGTTGTGTGTCGGTTCTGATCCAAAAGCCTTCATTTAGGCTTCCTGGTCCACCACGGACTGGCCGTGCGCCGGGCCCGATCTGGCACCTGTCCTCCTGATCCACAGCTGAGACCAGAACCAGGACGGACCCGCTCTGTCAGTGAGGAGAACCGGAACCTTTGGGTTTTTTTCCTTTTAGACGGAACCTGTTTGTTTGTGACACATGCGGGGAGACACCTGATCCGCCGGCCTCTCCGCGCGCGCGCACCGCCCCGGAGGCTCGAGTCGGAACCAGAGGCGGACTCAGCCGGCGCTGATCGGGTTTGTTCCGAGTCCACCATGGTCCACTGCGCCGGCTGCGAGAGGCCCATCCTGGACCGGTTCCTGCTCAACGTGCTGGACCGAGCCTGGCACGTGAAGTGCGTGCAGTGCTGCGAGTGCAAGAGCAACCTGACGGAGAAGTGCTTCTCCCGGGAGGGGCGGCTCTACTGCAAGAACGACTTCTTCAGGTGAGCCGGGGGGGCCGGAAATAGAACCGCATTTATTTTCTGCAGTTTCTGTTTTTAAAGAGACTCATTTATAAAATAAATAAAACTCTTTGATGTGACTCACAATCAAAGATAAACTGCTCCAAACATGAAACACTATTTATTGTTATAGAATGAATAAAAACAGCTTTGTGTTTGTTCACAAACATGTTTAAAATAAAAACATTTTACATTTATTTAGTTTTTAATGTTTAAAGAAATAGAAAGAAAGGCTTTGATTTGGAGACTAATTAAAATGTGTTTGTTTAGAGTTTAAAGCGACAAAAGAGAAGCAGCAACAATAAACACGTGTGTACGCGCACGGGGGGTGTTAATGTAGGAAATCACACCTGGGTGTGTTTGTTAACAGACAGGGCAGCCCGCAGGATCAAACCCCGGCCCCCCCGGCCCCCCCGGCCCCCACGGCCCCGCTGTGTTTGCTCAGTTCGGCTGAGCAGGACCTGATAAATGGATCAGAGAAGACCCGGGTCCACAAACCCAGAACCAGACCGTGAGCTGCAGCCATTCCACATCCAGCAGCTGCGAGCCTAACAAACAAACAAACAAACAAACAAACAAACAAACAAATAAAAAAACATTTGATCATTTAAAGGCGTCAAAGACAAGAACATAAAAACGCAACAAAAACGGTTTTCAAATTAAAACTAACAGGAATAAAACAATTCTATTTATTTAAACCAATTCACTGACTCCTGGATGACATAATAAATATATGAATTATTAATTATATAGATAATAATTGTTGAATTATTTATTATATATCATTTGAATTGAACTGGTTGTGAAAAACAATCAACAACATTTTATTAGTAATAGTAATGACCTGGAAAATAGTTTTATTCTATAAAAAGTGAAAGCTTAAAGAATAAATTTCTGTGTTTGAGACCTGTTTATTTAACAGTTGAATCACACACACACACACACA